CATATTTATCATAAATATTCTTCGGATGTAAATAATGCATGAGGTTGACAATCAGACAATCTGTCAATTTGACAAGCTTGTCTGGCACTAACATGGCTGCCGAGATCAATAGAAAACTGTCATAATACGTTTGGTTCGTAGCTGGTTGGCGTTATTAGATTCTTCAAAATGTTTTGCATTAACATTTTTTTGTGAATATGTACACTCTTTGAACCGTAATAAACTTATTTGTATTTTTATGACAATGCCGTAATTTCGATCGTCGTAATGATAGGTGAAAGTGTTCTGAATAACTGTTGACCCGTGAGTAGAGAGGGTGATTCACAACAATGTAATGCAGCGTTATAAAGACAACACGTTTTTTAATGATCGAGGCGAATCGTAAATACTACATAAGTTCCTAATATTCCGGGCGAATGTCAATAATATATCTGTCTTGAACATTAATAAAAAAATAAACTTCCAAATACACTTTATACATTTACATTACTTCTTGTTACACAAGAGAGTGCCTATTTTTACAATTTCTCTTGATATTTCTCGATTTTTAGTAGTGAATGAATCAATATTAAACAAGGAAGCTATCAATTTTCTATTGTGTGGGATTTTAATATGGACTTTTTTGAATTTATTTGCGTGTCTGTGATTACATTTGTATGTGGTATAATATGTACACTTGCACTGGAATTTTACTTGTTCAAAAAGTATTTGGAAGAAGCGCCTCTAGCAAGTCCACCAGAAAGACCAATACAACATGGAAAGGCTCAATTACCTAACGAATTGCTTGAAAAGATTCAAGATGAAAAGACTACTTCTAGTACAAGTATATCCCGCCAAGCTATGTGCCAAGGCAATGAGAATTTGGCAATAAACTTAACGCTACAATTTTTGTTCAATGAATTACGAAATGCTGAACGGGTTCGTCTATGGTTATATAGAAAATTAAATAATGAGTTCAAGGAACTCTTAACTCAGTCCACAACTGGCAAATTGTTGGACAGTGTAAAGGTAAATGGAAAATTCTAGAACTATTACTATCAGAGAAATAATAATTATTTTACTTTTTCAGTTGAGAGACTTAAATCTGGGTACACAGTTTCCCACGATAAAAGGTTTAGAAGTTGCTGATTCAAAAATAGATGCTGATACAGGCTTACTAGAGTCATTGGATTTATCTTTAGACTTGCATTACGATGGAAATTTTCAACTATCAATAGATGTTAAAATGTTGTTGGGTAAAACTGCTTATATGGCTTTACAAGGTGCATAAACACATGTTTGTTTTAATGCAACTGAAATTAAATTATCTTATGAAATGGAAAGCACAACTAATTATATTAATACTGATTTCAGTGAAAAGAGTCAGCGGTAGAGCCAGACTGCAGTTTACACGTGTTCCATACACACATTGGTCCCTGAGCTTTTATTCGGATCCTATACTCGAGTTAGAAGTGCAATCTCAATTTCAAGGTCGTCAATTACAACCGCAGATTATCTCTTTGATCACTGGGCAGATTCGAAGAGCCGTGCGTAGGAAGCATACACTACCTCGCTACAAACTGCGTTATAAGCCATTCTTCCGCAGACTGAACGACGAAGCAGTAGATTTGTCTGAAGTAAGATGTATGCTTCGTTACTTAAGATCAGATAGAATGTAAAACAAGATATAACAACTTCCTAAAATGTCTCTTCAGGTTGCCAATATCCAATTGATACCAGGTTTTTTGCAAGTATCATTATTCGAAGTGAGCAGATTGAATCTTGGACCTAATATGCTTAACGCAGAGGATAAGTCACAGATTGAGGTATACTGTACGATAAGTGTGGATTCAACACCTTGGGTGTTTATTACTCAATACACTGGAGTTCCTTACATGGTGTTGGATTTGATAATTAGCAAAGTCGGTTCTCAGCAGCTCGGCGTAGTATTTAAGCAAGAACTCGTGCCAGAGATAGGGCATATTTGCGTGCTAGTCGAAACAATAGTAAATGGAAGTCCCGCCGCAATAGCCGAGATGAGGAAAGGCGATATTTTAGTAGCGGTAGATGGGAAGAAGGTCTCCAGCATGAACCAAGTAGCCAAACTGGTAAAAAACGCTGTACAAAGGCGATTCATTATAAGGGTCGAGAGGAAGTATTCCAAAGCAGACTTGGACAAGCAGATCAGCATGAAACTAGACAGCGAGAAACTGTCCTCAGAAAAGGGAACCGATAGAAAATCATTGAAAGCGGAGTTTATAATGAATAAAGGAGACACGCCGAGTACGGAGGACAGCGGTAAAATCAAGTTCGAGAGTCAAATCAAATTTTCAGATCTGAAAGACTCTGAGAACGAGATCTCTGAGAAACTGGAGACAGGTAGCAAACTTTTTAGAAGAAGAAAAAGTAGCGCGCATGCAGATGAGCCTGCCCAGACACCTGATTCCACACCTTCTAGAAAAATCTCAACGACTTCAAATCAATCTTTAGTATCGAATAGCTCTCAATTCTGTTTTGATGATAGTTACATAACAAACGTAACAGACTTATACTACACTACAAAGGAAAAAGAGTACGCCTCGTCGATCACTTTCGAGGAGACTAGAAACTTTCAGATTGATTCGGAATTACAGTATTTAAACATAGGTGTATGGGGTCGCGTAAGGGGAGGAGAATTTCCTGCGAAGTTGCTAGGATACATAAATGTCCCTATGAAATTAATTCTAGCGCAATGTTATACGTCCTCGACTGGTCATTATCTTAAATGCCACGCGTTACTCCCACCCGACAGTGGTACGTGTCATTAATGGATTATGGGTTAATAACTTTGCAGATTTTATAATAATTTTCACCTTGTCTTCTTCGAAGCTTCTCTAACGACAGTCGACACGAAACTGCAAGGGTACTCGGGATTCGATCCTACTCTTTGTTACGGTGACATTTTATTGTCGTACGTGTGGGAGTCCAGTCATCCAAATCGTCACGCGGTTAGTGATTCGGGGAAGAAGGAAAGCGCTGAGACTGCCAAAACGCAACCGGCGTTGAACGAGGAGATTATCGATAAGAAGATGCACGACTTTATCAGAACGCACTTTCACAGGGCAACGCACTGTGACTTTTGTACAAAAAAGGTTTGGACATTTAAATAGATGATTGAAGATTCTAAGTAAAATCGAAAAATGGAGAAACAATTTGTTACTCTAATTTTGAATAATATGACTGATACGAACATGATTCTTGTCGAACAGATTTGGCTGAAGGACGCAATACAGTGCAGAGATTGTGGTATGGTGTGCCACAAGAAGTGCGAGGTACGCTGTCAGGCGTCAGGAACTTGTGGAGCAGAAAGTTTAGCGATGGCATTAGAAACTGACGAAATAGAGCCTAATACTCTAATTGGGGAATCAGGTCCAGAGATATCTCTAACCAGTTGCGAAGATACTGTACAGGTACTCAAGACGTTGTAAAAGTTTTTCTTAAACTCACACACACACACACACACACAAACAAATGGTATTGCCAACTGGCTGAAACGTGTCGATACACACGGGAAGAATAACCAGCGACACGGTTGGCGACTCCATTCATATCCATTGTCCAGAAAACAAGATACGATTATACGCGAACCTAGTCTCGAATCTTTGAACGAAACTAATTGAAATTTACCTAGCGTGTAATCGATGTATCATTTATATTTTTATCGAGAAATTGTACATTAATTTTTAACCAAAGGTATTTTAAAAGAAAAGAGACGTCATCAAATTACAATCATCATCTTGCATATCTACTCTTTTCTTGTACAGCATATAAAACAATATATGCTGTTAACCGAGGAATTGCAGTTTCGGGCAATTAATGTATACTTTTAAAATAACATATACATAGATATATATATATATATACACATACACACACACCTGCGCATAGAGTATTTTCTTGGTACTTTGTACATAGAGACTGTTAAGTGTGTTTCACTTTGTTTGTTGCCAATAAAAAAAACTGAATCATCTGTATTTAGGGCGGTGAAGGTTTTTTGTAGGATTGCACCTTTAACCACTTTGTTTAGAACATTCGATACCTGTGAGCATTGCAAGTGAACAGACCATTTCGCTTTGATATCGTACAGACAAGACGGTATATTTAGTTATATATCTCACCTAGCACACAAAACCGAGATGAATCGAATACAGAACACGATTCCATTTCTTTCATCGCTAAGTAGCAGCTATGCCGGATAGCTGGCAGTTAGGCAGGAGGAGATTAATTAATCACATTCCAATCCGTTGATCGATTAATCAGGGTGCGACTATGATGGCCATGAAGGCTAGTATAGCTAACACTCTGTTGGGCCTGAAGAAGGCTGGAAGTACCAGTTGCTTGGCACCACCGGCTTCCGGTACTGGTCTGGCATCTAGAAGTCTTCCCCCAAGTCCCTGTGCGTCCCGCAAGGTAGATCTTAATACCACAGATTTGTTCGTTTGGAACGGAGAAGGATCATATCGACTTTCTAGAATCCTTCCCACCTTGGTTTGCCCTTGTCACCGGTGAACCGTCATTTTATCAGAATCGTTCTGGACAATTGATGACACAGTTTTTGCCCCTTCTCTGTTCCATTCTCCTCTTCGCCCTAATTTTCGTACACCAGCGACTCTAACAACACTAATCACGCTTCTGGATTGATCAGGTGTTAAGCTTAAACTGTCTCATCCGCTTCGCGTAAGTTAGGGCTTCCTCTCTCTCTCTCTCTCTCTCTCTATCTTTCCGACACGCTGGCTTCTTTTCGTAACTCTCGCAAAACGGGATCGCATCTTTTCGTTGGTCATGCCACTGATCGTTATTTGGGGTACGCACAATCAAGGCCGCCGTCGTCACCGTGCTTCTTGCATAACGCATCGTATTAATACCTCTATAGCCGTTACGATCATTCATACACCGATAGCTGCGAATGCTTTGATTGCCAGTCACATTTTGCTCTCTTCTCTCTCTCTTCTTTCTCTCTCTCTCTTTGTCTGTCTCTCTATCTCGCTGTTTGCAAGTCGAGCCAGGCGCATCCATTCTCTAGGATCGAGATTAAATTGAACACTCATCGACGACGAATCTGATTGAATTGTTGGAACCTTTAGAATTCATTGGTCGGAGGCTTGGGCATAAGTCCAGAACTGTTGGAGGGCGCCGAGCCCAGCGTGGCCGCGCCTTTGGTTGCCGGGGACCTGGACGATGGTCTTATGTCCAGGGCTAAAGACACCGGCAAGTTTTTGTATAAACATTTGGAGCCACGGGAACGCGTCGAGAAGATTAACACCATGGTGAGGACTTTTACGACAGAATACTCGTTAACGCCTTGCTATCATTCTTACAGGGAACTCTGATGATTATGTCACTCTAGGAAGACTGAATAGAGATACTTCGGAGGTCATTGAATGTATCAGTGTCCAGAATCAGGAACAAGGATGTCGTTTAGAGAAAAGTCTTTCCAGAGTGCAAGCCTATCAACCCCTTGCCCTATTTATTTTAATCCTTTGCACTCCAAAGGTCTCAGTCACCACTCGATTGCATCGAAATTCTAAAATTCCGTATTTAACATCAAGTCTTGAGTAATCTGTCGATACGTGATATGGGGAAATGAAACACCATTGTTCCCCTTATTTTGTGAATAGATTCCTCGTTAAGTTAGTTGAAATGTCATCTGTATCTCATGGAAATGAATTGAATATTTCTGGTGACAAATCTTTGGAGTGCAAAGGGTTAACTAAGGTCTACGTTTCCAAAAGTTCACGACTGATAATGGAAAAGTAATTGATTTATATTTGAGAAGAGTGAATAACACTGAAATTTCTCAGATTTAATTGAACATTTCAACGCATTTGCATCATAAGCGCTTACATCACAAAGAAAGGAAAGATAATTTTATAAATGCAATAATTGCCTTGTGGCTATATAGGTTTTCAATTGTTTATACGTTTTGAATAATTTTTATTTTGATGCAATTGAAACATGGTGAGGACCAATTTTGAACCTATGATGCAAATGGGTTAACAGAAGAGTCTTGTAGGTCAAGGGGTTAACGGACATTCGAATACAAATAATAGTCATTACAGCGAATCAACGAGCTCAACTAACCGATCCTCCTCCACCTGTGCAGATGGGCAAGCTGAAAACCGCGCTCGACGCGGAAACTACCTCAAGATTAGAGTTGTCGCAGACCGGGGACCTGGACAGTATTAAATTGATCGCGCAGAGCGATTTACGGGTGCAGACACTGAGCGTGCTGCTCCTGCACTACTGCGCCGGTATGCAACACGCGCAGGAAGCACTAGACCGGTCCCAGGCCAGCAAGGACTCTTAACGGACCTAAGCTCAGCGAGCGGAAACCGGGAAACCGACATTCCACTGCGCCCGGTCCAAATCGGCGGTCGGTCTCGATGATAATTAGATTTCGCTGTGCACGGAAACGCTTAAAAATATTCCTTCGAATGGTTCGATTTGTCCAAACGTTCTTATTCTGCGTTACGCAGCGATACTCGCTTGCAGTAGTCTGTCGTTCTATGTTACCTCGATGGAAATCGGAAGTCGCCGATGACTCGCCTGCCGCGATCTTTTCTATTAGTTCGAACGAAGACGCTTCGAGCGACAGTTTCACCGTGACAGCGAGAGCAAGACTTGTATTCGTTAAGTTTCACTCCCAATCGGTTCCTACTTTCATTGTCCGCTCCGACGACGGGTAACACGCAACGAGAGAATACTGTGATAGGCCTCGAATTAATAATACTCGCGAATCGTCCGACCGTGATATGATCGTTCGATAGCTTAAACCGGAGAACACCAAATACTAAAGACTTATTTACGTGTTTACGGGTGACGCGTGTATTCCGCGGACGACGGAGGGTAAAACGCGCGCGGTTCGTCTTAGATTATCCCCTCGGCCCGGTGTAGGTGACTAACTTGCGGTACATAGGAGTAATTATAGGGTAACGGAATAGTGTCTTGAGTTGAACGCGCGAAGGTAACGGGCAATTAGATACTTAATTAAGTAGCGTTCGGTAGCTTCGTCGAGCAAAGGGATTTACTCTTTTTCATATCAATAGCAACGTAATGTCGAGTTTAAGTCGCGCGGACGAGCGCGAGCCTGTTTCCCCTCTCTTTCTCCGCTAGATTTTTCCTCCATAGGGAATCGCGTTCACGGCGATCCTGTAAACAAACCTGCAACGAAACCGCGTTCAGAAATTCAACGATTCGCCGGCGTTTGCGTACATTACACAGAATTTATCAAATGTAAAACACACACGCGTACACACACACGTACAGGTACACGGTACACGGTACACGCAATACGATAGAATTCCATCCATAGGTAAACTCGAAGGTTGAGCAAGCCTCGAATGTACATATACATATTTCCTGGCTTTGCAAGGTATTGCGACTCATTGTTGAAAAGGACAAAAACGTGTAAAGTCAATATATAAAAGTGAATATAGATTATCGAAGCGTAACGTGTGTGACCCGTTTCTTGTCTCCACCGCCCGAACGGCCCGAAGGGATTGTTATTCCGATTTGTCTCGTCAGGGGAACGCGCGCGCGCGGGGAAACGTTTAATCGGCGCGATGAGAAATAGACGCGCGCGTGGATCGAGGTCGGTCGGACGGCGTTCTATAACTACCGGCGACGTTTCCGTTCCCAGCGAGCGTCCCGTCTTCCCGGTAAACATGAAAATACTCGAAAAACGGAGACGCAGTTGCCGGGCCGGCCGCACAAAGAATCTACGTCAAAGCCGAGCGATTTTATAGGGCCAACGCTCGCGTCGTCCCGTTCGCGGGCGTTCTCTCGGCCTGTTCGCGCAGCGCGAGATCACCGCGGGGCTAATTCACGATTGTTTACGAGCACCGTCGAATCCGACGCGTTCCGCCCGGACGGGGGGTGGGAATCGGACGCGTAAAAGCGGAAAATCGCGAAAAAGCTTTCGACGAAATCTCTTCGCGCCGCGGCGTTCCGGCGAATCGAATGTATTCCGCGCGATTATTCGTGGAACCGCGTTTGTTTCTCCCGGTGACGTTCGCCCGTGTGCCAGAGTTGGCGAGCGAGCGGATGCAGATCTCGCGTCTGAATGGCAGAATTGCGCGTCGTTTTCGGAAACGCAAAGTCATCGACGCGACGCCGCGGTGCCAATGATCTAGCGTCTACCCTCGGGAGACGCGCCGTGCGTTGGCACAGGACCCGTCCTCTCGATCGTCGTCGCGGCTGTCCGTCGTCTCTCGATAGAGCTCGGCAGACCCGCTGGCGACTGGAAAACCGAGAACGTGGATACACGTGGACAGACGTAGAAAACGAACGGCCAGCCAGGAACAGAGAGAGAGAGAGAGAGGGATGCACACGTGTGCCCGCGAGCCGCGTGCATCGATCTCGATGCGTCGTGGCTTTTATCTTGCACGCGACGCTCCGCGACTCTCCGCGCCGCGCGGCGCTCCTCCAGAGTCAATACGAGCAAGACGAGGGAGAAGTCATGGGGGATTTTGGCCCGCGAATCTATTCTCGTCCGCGAAATGCACGCGCAGTATCCTCTGGCCGCGTGCCAAGCATACCGACGAATCGTATAAACATTTTATCCCTGTTGGGCGTTGGGTTGCACGATGAATGGAGAGCAAAGTCCTCCGTTCCCGAGAAGAAAAGACGCGCCGATCGACGCCGATCCCGGGAAACGAGTCGTTTCTCCTCTCCGACTCGACTCCGTCGTCGAGACTCGCCGGGGATCGACGGGTTCCCGATTTCCAGGAACGGTCCGGTGCCTGGAGAACGGAAACGGCGGACGGACCTCGCGACCGTTCGAACGGCGGCGGATCCCGGCGCGGATTTTTCGCCCGGCACTCTCGTCGCCATCGCGGGCGAATGCGCAGATTCGAGGAGAAAGCCGTAGAAACGTTGTTTAATGTGGCGAAACGTGCACGCTTCTTGATCTCGCGACGCGCGCCAAAACTACGAGCGGCGCACTCGGTGCTCCCTTTTGTCTGGCAGAAGCGGGACGAAGAGAGAGAGAGAGAGGAGCTGGAGCGATTTCGCCAACGCTTCGGACGCGCTTGTTCCGTTGTTTATTGTCGCGACGAAACGACCGTGCACGTGTTCCGCGCGGTCCACGCTTTAAAAAGAGTCGCTTCGTTAATTACATTCTTCGACCGGTGACGTTGCGGGTGTCCCGATGAATAGGGTTGACGCGCCGAGCCCGGAGCGAATTGAAATTGAAGAAATTTAAGAAACTTATTTAAACTTAATTCTTTAGTTCAACATTTCTCGATTTCTTTAGCACCGTTTCGTTTGCTCTTCCCCGAGTTCCGTCGCATTCTTATCCGAGGTAATTCGAATTCGAGAGTACAACGCGTTTCGTACATCGATACTTGAACTGCACAGACGCATCGAGGGTGAACGGGACACCCGGTACACAGGCGTTGCCTCTGAAAACAAACGATGAGAAGAGTCTCTCGGGAGAACGCTCGCTGGAAAACTCCGCGCGGCCGAACGAGAGCGAGCGTCGCGATGGCGCAGTAGGCATCGTGCCGAACGGCGACGGCGTCCCTCCGTTCCCTGCGTTCGCGACCTTGCGCTTCCGACGACGCTTTTAGCGGACAAATACCATCGGTTTTGGCGAAAACGCGCGCCGACGACAGCTTTCGCTTTCGATCGCGGCGAACCGGAAGCGCGTCGAACTCGAACGGCGAGGATTTTCGCGGGGCCGGGTCCGTTCAATCTCGCTCGCTCGCTCGCTTCCTCGTGTCTAGCACGCGCGAGGTGTGCCGTTAATTGCGCGTTTATGTAACAGCGCCGGGCACGGTGAAATATAAAATAAAATATCCGAGCAGCGACACAATCGGGGGAGAATCGTTTCATAGAGCGTTGTATAATTTCCCGGCGCTGTTCCGCCGGCGAGCGCTTCCTCTTCGGCTCTCGCATTGCGCAATGGAAGCCGCGGACAGCACACGGGAAACATCGGATCCACCGTCAAAATTGCTCTTTAACGTCTCATGCATTAAAGATGAAAGAAACTCGCCATTAATTAAAAAGTACGCGGTTCAGAGCTGATTCCGTAACCGAGCGCAGCAGGAAGCGCGTCGGCTTTCGCGCGGCGCTCGCCGGATCCCGGGGGAGACGGCGAAGGATCGACGTTCCCCGGTCTCCGATGGAGAAACGGAAGACGGGGACGCGAATTCGACGGCGCAACCGTGAAAAGAGTCCACTTTCCAATCGGCTATCGAAAATAGACGGCGCGCGTGGAAACGTTTCATTCTAATCGGATAAACGGATCGTTGAGCAGAGTCCGGCGCAGCGGCGTTCGCTTAGAACGCACGCTGCGGCGTGAGTCATCGGGAGTTTTTGCATCCACGCGTGCGAGTCTCTTCCTGTTTCCATCGAAAACCCGGCTGTTCGCGTGTCTTTCAGAGAAGTCGTCCGCAGGGACCTTCGATCGCTCGTATAGCCGACTATTTCTGTGCGTAGAAAACCTCAATGCCGCGCGACCGCGTAGACCTCGGCCGCTGAACAAATGGCGCACGCGGAAAAGTTCGATTCCCGAAAAGATCTCTCGATCGAACGTCCTCTTCCTCTCTTTTCCCTGACATTGTCGACGGAGACAAAGCAGCCGGAAGGCTCCGGCGTCGCGGCGACCTTCGTCCCCGAGACGAACGGCGATTTCGACAGGTCGCGGACCGCGAGATCTCCGGGTGCAGCCGACGCCGCCGCCGCGCAGCACCGCGTGCACGCGCGCAACGTGCCTCTACAGTTGTTTTCAAACAAAGAGAAGGAATTGAAACAAAGTAGTCAGCTGATCCGAGATGCGTCTCTGGTGGGAGAGCGCGCGGCGAGGGCTTAAATAGCACCGCGTGGACTAACGCACGTCAGTGCCAGGCAAGCGTCGCCCGAAACGCTCCCGTTCCGATTCCTCCTTGTCCTCCGCCACGAGTGTCGAGATCACGGGAGCCGTGCCACCTCCGCGGGAAGATCGAAGCTCTAGAGATCCCTCTCCGCGCGGTCGTCTCTCTCGTCGATGTTCTGCGAGCCGAACGCTCGGCGATCCCGTGAAGTCGAGGCAGCTCCTTGCGAGGAAAGTGGTGTTCCGTCACGAGACATGGTAGTTTCTTGATAGGGGGCTGCAGTGCTGATCGATACCCTAAACGGGAGGACAAGGAAGCGCGATTAATTACCGTGGATTCCGTAACCGGGGGATTTCCCGAGGTGAACCGAGGATCCCAGAGGAGGAGAGGCTTAAGGGTTACCTGTTCTTTCGCTTACCACGAGTTTCCGCTCGGAAGAGATGAGGCCGCCCTCGTACGATGGTGAACAAGTGCAACAAGTATCCCAGGAGCAGGGCGAGAGGAACGTGGCCATGGCGGTTTGCGTGCAGTTGGCGGGCCGCGCGATCATCAGGGTAGTTTCCCGGTGCGAAGAGGCGCAGGACAATTGCAACCTAGGTAGGTCTGATCTGTCGATGTATTCCTTCTTCCCCTGATCGTTCGGCACGGAACTCTATTGTGGAAAGGAACCGTCGAAGTCTCGATGATCAGATTCCTGGGAAAAGGATCGATACCGTGACCAGCGTTTTTTGTCTCGACGAAGCGGACCGCATAGTCGACTTTTGCGAGCTAGACGGATAATTGGCCGCCGACGTAATTGTTTCCTCCGCGTTGCATACTTTCTACGGACACGGTATCTTTCCGCGTTTCAGGCATTACACTTTCGCTCGACGAGGAAAACGGAACGCTCCGCGATCCTCGAGCGTTGCTTTTATTATCCGGAGACGACGATCGGTCTGGGACTTTCTTCGAGACGCGGTGCTCGCGGGAAACAAAGGCCGCGGACTGCGTAGTTTTAGTCATCGATGCGCAGATAAGGCACCGTCCGATAAGCTGTCCGGCAATGTTAAGGTCGAAATTAATCATCCCGGAGCATCGGTGGTTGCGTCCGAGCGATTTCCGATCCGGCTCGATCAGCCGTGATCCGTTTCTCGAGCTCTGCGTCACGCCGATATACCCTCGATAAAGAAAACCACAGATCTTGGGCGTGCGTGTTCTAGCTCTCGCGCTGGACGTGCCACGCGCTAGATGTTTGTGTTCCAAAATTGCCAGTGACGTCTACGCATCGGCAGTCTGGTTGCATTGCGCTAGATTGTTTCGAAACGTACAGCTCTATACGAAATGATTAATGAAATTGATCTACGTGTCGCGTGAAGCACAAGACTGTCGAATCTCTGAATTCATTTCTATGGTTTCCATCAGAGGTTCACACTAGAACTACCAGATGGGTCGGAATCACTCATTTCTGATTTCCCCTTTTACAATTACTGGAAAGGTACAGATTCTACGCAGAATTCTTAACACTAGGTTTACGGAACGCGTCAAATTGACGCATATTGGATTCTAGAAATATTATTTTGTAAATGTTTACGCCGATTTTGATTGAATCACACTGACATGTACCCCAATTACCTATCGAATCTCCAGTTTCAATCTAAATAAACGAGCATCGATTCTTTTAGGAATAATAGAACGAAGTGTACAATAAATGCTAGTAAACCTAATGTCAATGAAACTAATTCAGTAATAGCAACACTGAAATCTCGGTAAATTCACGCTTATGGTTTCCGCAAAGAAATTTGTAAAAGTCGGTTGAAGCGATCGGTAGTTCTAGTGTTAAACTCTGATTGACTCGCAACGCTCGGCTTGACCCTTCTACTCGCGTAATCCGCTTGGAACGGCGGGTTCTCAGTCGGTGAGGCAACCCGCCGCGTGCATCCCTATCGCCGCGAAAATCGAAAGTACACAATCCCGTAGCGCGCGTAAAAGCGAGAAAGGAAAGCGATACCGTTCCACGGGAACCGTAACAGTCGGCCCGTGCCGTCTGCTCGCGTGCGGGTTCCAGGGACGAAATGTAAACAGCTCGCGGGACCCGAGAGACTATTAACACTTTGAGCTTGGCGCCGACGTTGCTGTCCTTTCCGCTCAGGCGACACCGAGCACCTCGCGGCGAGCGTGCAACGCGTGGAGTGGAGAGCATAAGTAAACAAAATACAATACATTGTTTCGCCTGTTGATCTGTCGCTTGAATTATGGGAACGGTGCAGTCATTGCAGAAATATACAAATTATAAACAAGATAATGAGACGACGACGTTAACCGTTTGTCAAAGACTTTCCAAACTGAATACTCTTTCCACCGAATTATCAAAGTTCTATATACTGGAAAAGAAACCGCGTGATCAATCTCGTTATTCGAACGATTAAATGATCCGTTCGCAGCTTTGCATAACCCTTTGCACTCACGGGTGACTCACCCCTTGATTTCATACAGTAAAACTATAAAATTTATTTAATATTATACTACCTATAATGCGTCGATTTGAGAAATATTGATATAAAATATAATAATAATAATAATAAAAATAATTTCACAAGATGTCTACCTCATCATTGAATGTCAAAATATTCCTGGCGAAAGACCGAGTGCAAAGGGTTAAAGCTCGGAGTTACCGTTACAGTGACATTCGACAGAGTCAACAGGTGCCCCGTGTACAAAGCTCGAGCATAAAAGCGTTACTTGAAAAATTCATCGGCTGACAACGGTACTCCGCACCCAAGTGCCGCCGAGGTGCAGCGGATCAATCAAAGTTAACAGACGCGCGTGACCTTAAGGTTCGTTCGGCTAAGTGACCAACAATGTTGGCAACGCGATACGTGTTTCTAGCCGGCCTTGATTCGTTCGTTCGACCGACCCGTAACGAGCTCGACTTTCAAACTGCCGTGACAAATCGTCGCGGGCCGCGTTTCGCGTCACGCTCGCGAGCTTTACTTCCCGGGCACCCCGTAGATCGCGCGAACCTCTTCCTGATTCGACCTGGAAGACTCCTCGAGAAGTCTCTCTCGGTTCCTCGCCTTATCCGGACTTATCTCGGACCTTTCTCAATGCCGCTTCGCCCTCCTTTGGCAAGACTCCTCGGAGACCGCGTCGATTCTTCTGGGTAAAACATGTCTCTCCTCCGACGGGAATCTCTGCAAAAACCATTGGATTCGTTAAAGTAACTCGCAGTTGCGAACGCGGAGGCGTGACCGACTCGTCGCTCGGTTAACGGGTTAACACGCTGAGCGCTACGTCAGTCCCCGGGGACTGACAGTGAACTCTCCGTTCAAGCGGCGTGGATTCTAGGGACCGACAGCGAACTTCTCGTTCGGTCGACATCGGTGCGCGAGACCAGCATTTCAAAGGGTTAAATTATTGACAATTAAAAAATTTACGTTAAAATTTAGCGTACTCCCGTGGCTTTTTCAGACCGATCGTTTCTTGGTGTTCGCGCTTTTGTCTCTCTGGCATTCCCCACCCCATTATCTTATGTTTATACATTGTATACACGTGCATTGCCTGCATCGTCACAGTGCAAACGACAGAAGAAACAGTGAAGAAAAGGAATCGTCTGTTGCGCTGTCGCGCGGTCTAGTTTAGCGTTCGCTCTCGTCGAACGCTCACGCCGCCTGAGCGGAAAGTATAGCAAAATCGGCGCCGCGCTCGACGGGTTAAACATTCACCGATACGCTTCCACGCGCGTCCGTTGAATGAACGCCGTTGGAAACCGAGGGACGGACAAATCCGTTAAAAGCAAACGCGGAGATTTCTAATCGGTAACTGGCGAAAGTCTCGCGCCGGAGAAAACGAGAGCGAGAGGTGCTCGACGGGCGCGCTGAAGGGGTCTACGTACGCTGTCTCCGTAATAACTCGCTCGTTAGCGATCCGCGCGAGGAAACGACTACGCGGTGAGCTTCTCCGAGTGACAATCGACCGGTGCGGTTTTTGTCGCGAGGCGTCAATGAGCGTAACGCGTCGTCGTTCGAGAGCGCTTCTCGCGAGCCGTGTACAATCAATTCGACGCGCTAGAAAAGACGCCCGCCGCACGTTTCAAGCTTCCCAGAGAGGTCCGAGGCTGTATATAGACTTCCTACTTCTCGTTCGGAATAGCGACGGGAATGTTGCAACGTTTAATTCGCCCGCGACGCGTCGGCCGATAGCGACGCGGATGTTAGCCAGTCGTGTCGGGCGGCCGCGCACGTAACAGGTGGCGGTAGTCCCCGAGCGTGCATCATTTCGAATAAAAGTGAAATGCACGCTCGGGGTTCTCCGGCATAGATAATCGCGAGGATAAATGCCGCGTTGCACAACTCGTGTCCGGCCTTTGTTCCTCGCGCAGGCCAAACTGCACGCTGCTTTTTGCGAGCGCAGCCTTAAGGCGCATCGAGGCGCGGTTCGGCCGAGGAAATTTCAGGACCGTCGATCACCTGGGAACGACGGGGAAACGATTGCCAGACAAACTGGACAATGTAATTTTAACACGTTCCGTGCCATAGAATCTTATATTTTGATGATGAACTATATTGATTTTTTTTTAATTAAATATTAACTTGTATTCGAATTTCTGGCAATTCTTATATACTACTTTTAACCCTTTGAACTCTGTAGGCTCCAATGCACCAGGAATGATACTAGATATTTTAATGAATCTTAAAGAAACTACCCTAAAATTATTTTCCACGCATCCAAATTTTGTACTAAATTTGAAGAAATGTTATAGCATTTCTAATTTTCGCTATGGATACTATAAAGATTAGTTGCAGTTGCTGATAGATTACAAAAATTTATAGATAGATTACTGAACGTGTTAATGAAATCCTTGTACCTTCTGCTAGTTTCGCCTGTCGTTAACGCTTGTAATTAGCAATATTTTTCAATCGTCGCCGATTTTTGAGATGATCGTGGCACTCTACCGAGTTAGACGCAAGGGATGAGCGCGAGGGATTTTAACACTAGGTTTACTAATATTATTTGATAAGTGTTCACTTTTAAATTGTCTACTTTTAAACTTCTAACTACTAAGATCGAAACGAACGAACACCAACCTTTCCAGGAACAATGGTATAAAATGCAGGAAAAATTTCCGTAAACCTAGTGTTAAATCGCATCTTCGATCGCGCGCTCACGATCTAAGTGAATCATCAGTCTCGTTTAGTCGGAGACCAGCACGGTCGTCGTTTCAATAAAATGAACGATACCGCGCAAGTGTACATTTTGCCTGGGAAACCATCCTGAACCTTACGACCTGCCTTACAGTTATAGGCAGATAACCGTGAGCCAACGGTCCGTCAACGGAAAGGATCTGTTGCACGTTTTGGAGGCATCCGTGTATACGAAAGGTCAATCTCGGAATAGTGAACCGCTACGGGGCCTTGGCAGAGTAAACGCGCACGCTTTGCATGCCGCGCGAGAGTCGTTCCGTCTTCCTGATCCTTTTTACATGTAGCCCACGATAGATCCCTGCCGGATTACTCATTCGTTGTCAGTTAATCGTTCAGCCTATTGTCCTCGTGTCTATTCGAGGTCCAGTTTTCCATATATTAGAAGTAGACTGCGGATCTGTATCTTCCATATATTAGAAGTAGACTGCGGATCTATATCTTCCATATATTAGCGTTCCGTAAACCTAGTGTTAATTCAAATGTTCAAGAATGTAATTAGAAAAGCAGAATTACAGTGGGAAATGGTTTTCCCTAAGAAATGTTATGAGAAACATTAGACTTGAGATATTTTATTTTGAGCAATTTTGTATCTCCAAATTTTCCATGAATGCATAAGAATCCGCAGTCTAATTATTAGATAACCATAAGGACTTTGTTTGCAGTTAGATGATGTATTTCTAATGACTGTGATGCATAGCAAACAGGATGTAATTGTTTATTGGAACCAGTTTCTTGGTATAGTTACGGATAAAATATTCATTCTTGAAAACTGCTGCCTATCAGACACACGAATCCGTAACTATACCAAGAAATGGTACCAGCTTTGATTGTTGTGATTATTCGTAAACATTTCTATACTGTAAACAATGCCACCTAACACATTGACATTCAAAACAAACCTGCAATAACAACGCAATTCAAAGGAATAATTTAATATTATATCTCTTTTATATTTCGCATATTCTGCACCTTGAAGTCATGCAGTATTGCACGTGTTAAAGGAACAAACGCAAACTCACCGATTGCGCAGAATGTCTCAATGCATTCCCCTTTAATCGCCATTTACCAACGATGAACTGGAAATTGTTATTTGAACAAATGAGTCAGCTCGCACGTTTATCTCTGAACGAATAAAATACCCTGTAAGAAAGAGAGGTTGCATTAGTATCCATTCTAAAAATATATATCCACGGAAATAGGTGTGATTCGAGGGAACCTGTGTGCGGCGACGGAATAGCTGAATTTCTGGTTTCAATTCGAACGTGAATAATTCCGCCCCTGTAACACGCAACCGGATTGTTACTTCGAACGGACGCGGTAGAATGTCAGTGTATGCAACCCTCCGTGCACGCATACACAGGTATGCGAGGCGCCACCATCTATGGAAACGTAACCTTAAATGGCAGCTTGCCGCTGAAGCTATTTACTACTTTACAGCAAAAAGTCATCGTCACTGTCAATATATACGATAAAACAACCGGTCGACTCGTGCAGTTCCCTCGGCCGATACCGGGTCATTCCTGTCCCGTCTTTGTATGCTAATTGCACCGGCAGAAAATCATCTCGTGTATGTTTGTACACCGTTTTGCGTACAACGTGCGAATCAATGAAACTATTAACGCTCTGAATATATTTAAACAGTGATTATGCGACGGTAAATATTGTACAATGATATTTGGTCCTGACTGCTTGCACAATGAGACATCTAATTCCAAATTCGAAGGTTTGGTTTGTCTGTTAACTGAAACGCAATGAATATGTTACCTCGTAGAATAAAATCCTGTTCATCGCATTATCGATCCGTTGGATAGACTTTTTCTGGATACGTTTTGGAGGAGCAGCCCGTGGGACGGATCGTGATCAGTCGGAAAAACGCGGGATCAAGCTGAAACTGAATGCGCAGGCGCGAACAACATGGCGTCCGAAGGCTTCTAGCGCGGTATCAAACAAGCGAGCGTCCCGCGTCTATTTTCATACCGTTCAGACGTCTCTGATATAGTTATTTGATTAATTCAAATTCGAACGAGAAAATTTGACAAATTTCACTGATCGGTAGACTGCGGATATTTCTATGGATTCCATAGCTTCGACTGACTCATGAAAACAGGAAACGCGAGTTTTCTACGCCGCTAAACGTTCCTGTTGGGTAAAGCGGACTTTACGATGTATTATTATTGAAATTGATATTTTAGTAGATTTTATCCGGTAGTTGTTCCCAGAGGAATCCGCAGTCTACTGGTCACGCGTAAAGGTGCAAGGATTGCGCGAAGTATATAAGTGCGGGACGTTTCGAAATAAGAGCCACTGGTTCTACGTTTCGTCGACGCGTCACCTGGACTTCCGGAAAGTAGAATGAATGCCAAGGCTGGCCGGCGGACGGATGCTATTTATTCCTGAAATCCGTCGGAAATAAATGTTTCACTGTAGAGCGGCCGAACGACCGATTCGGGAACTCGCAGTGAGTCAGTCCACATTGGCAAGATGGCGAACGCCGTCACGAGAGTGGTATTGCGCTGCGAGGAAGCACAAGAAAACGAGAATCTCGGTAAATTGTTTTAACGAAAAAACTCGACGAATCGATCGCTGGTGTCATCGACATGCTGTGGTTCATCGAAGTTGCGTTGTACTCTGTTTGAATCAGTCATTATGCGTGCATTTAATTTTATGTAGTTCGTGACCTAGTTTCCGCTGCTACAGGTGTATCGCGGGTTTTATAAAAAAGGGGCACTCGGTTCTGAAAATGTGTAATTCATTGTTTGTACTCCGTGTCCGTAGCTCATCGAACAAACAGCTTAAATGAAACGATACCATGGAAAATGATTTGCAGATGTACCAGTGTCATTGTTATTCGTCGCGTAATATTGATACACTGACCTAATTCGACAGCTGATCCGCCAAGAACACAATGCAATGGATGCGGTATTGTTTCCCGTGCTGTAATAACGACATTTGTACTTCTGCCTTTTTATGGAGCTATTTATATCGATATCTCTCTTTAAACGAGCGAATTATTATGCAATAGTTACAAAGATATTTTTCCATTGTTTTTCAGACCTATCGGAATGTCAGTTGATGCAGGTACCTGACGCAGTTTATCATTTAATGAGACACACGGAATTGAAAAGATGCAACCTCTCTGGAAATGTGATAACAAAGATTCCACCGAAATTTGCTGTGAAATTTTCATTGATTACAGGTGAGTCTTGATAAGATGAATCAAAGATACCTTGAATACACTGTTTCCTTTATTTCTGATTAGCCCTGGTGATAAATGATGCTTTAAATTCATGTATTTTTTTCATTTATGCAGCAAAGTCTCTCTGTAAACGAAATTCAAATGGGTAATTGTTTCTAGAACTGAATCTGAGTCACAATCAAATGAGTAAGCTGCCAGAGGAACTTTCTGAGCTACAAGCCTTAGAAAGGCTGAATATATCGCATAATACTTTCATTGCTTTACCACCTGTTACTTGTCGGATACCACAGTTGAAGCATCTTCA